AAATAGGTTAATAAATGATAAATTGGTTTCAGGTATAGAATATTTAGTTTATAAATAGATGAATTGATTCATGAATAGATGAATTGGTTTATGAATAGATCAGTAGGTTCATGAATAGATGGATTGGTTCAAGAATATTAGTTCATTAATAGATGAATTAGTTCATGAATATATGAATTGGTTCATGAATAGATGAATTGGTTCACGAATAGATAAATAGGTTCACAAATAGATGAATAGGTTCTTGAACAGATGAATTGGTTCATGAATAGATGAACTGGTTTAGGAATAGATGAATTGGTTCATGAATAGATGAACTGGTTCAGGAATAGATGAATTGGTTCATAAATAAATGAATTGGTTCATGAATAGATAAATTGGTTCATGAATAGATGAACTGGTTCACGAATATATGAATTGCTTCATGAATAGATGAATAGATTATTGCACGGATCCTAGCAGCTGTAGATAAAAGAAAAGATTACGTAGGTCTATCACCTGCATTCAACTGGACACATATCTATTTATTTCAGGGGGAGAAAGTTCAAAACTGTGTTTATGTTTCAAATCTGACACTGTCCTGACCATAGAAAAAGATAGATTGCGTATAAGACGACATTTTTCATCTTGAAAGATATAAATGTACAGAGATGTTTTAAGATATTCCTATTATATAGATTAACTAGGTCGGTTGTGAACATTGGCTGTTCTTATGTCATTGAGTACTTGTTGTGTACATGGGTTCTGTAGAGAGAAATTTAAGTTAGTTTAGTCCTTCCCATGTCCTTCTTCAGTTTTCGTCAATATAATTTGATAGTTTGATATTCTCAAAATAAAATTCACTCCAGAGTGGTTTAATAATTATGAAATCCATTAAAACACCAAACCACCCCGCTTATCATTGAAGTCCACTTTGACCCCTAGAAGTATGAGTTCGCGGACTGTACAATTCTTGGTGATTTTGCGTATATAAGCTATCTATGTTTATTTATTTATCTATGGTCGTGACGGGTTAATCACATTTTAAGATAAAACATCTTAATAAAAAATGTTTAAATATTTTCTATTGTCAGGAAAATCATTACCTTCACTTAAAGGGACTGTAAAGAAAAAAATGAAAGGGGGTATAGGCTGAAAGCTCATCACTTTAGCTCTTGATCGCGACCCATGAAAGTTTTATCTGATGTTCCTGTCTCGAGAAATTGATATAAAACTGCGTTAAAATTATACGAAAGATCATATATGTAAAATTTAGAAAATCTTAAACTTACCCCTGCTTAGATTTTTTTTTGATTTTTCTGTCTGAAAAACTTAATTAATCATCTTAAATTAAAGGGCTACAATCTTTTTCATTTCTTAATTTCAATCTTTTTCATTGCTTAATATCAATCTTTTTCATTGCTTTATTTCATATCATTGAAATGTCCTCAACGCAGCATTTAAAATGAACAATAATATCTGGAAACAAATTATTTTTAATTTATATAATTTAATACATATAAGTAAAAAATAAAAAAAAATAGTTTCAGATTTACAAAATAAAACAGGGCAGATATTGTTAAATAAGTGACTAAATGAAATACAGGAATAACCAGAATACTCTGGAATAGGAAGTTAAATTGTTCACACTGCTGAAGAAGGACCATCAAGTTTCAAGTCAAAACACCTTTGGAATATATTAATATGCGCTCTACTGAATTATAATCTCAATTTTTTAGAAAAGGTCATCTAGGGAATTTTAAGTAAATCCATTTTTAAGAAATTGTAGAAATCAAGTGCATTTTCTGGTCTAAAAACAAATGTTTCTTTAGTTTCAAGACTTGATTATGTAGATTCTGTTTTTTGTGATATTTTTTTCATCATTAATGGCATGTTCACCAAATTTTATGAATTTTCTTTAAATTCATAAGACATGTTTTAGCAAAAAATCAAAGCCATAAGTGAACTGTATAGACTGTTTAAGTACTGCTTTTAAAAGGTTTTTTTTCAGTGGAATCCTTAAAAATCACATCAAAAAAGACTTTTTTCAGGCCGTATCTAGTCAGTCAAGCAGTTGACTTTGGACTTTGCTTTTTTCTGCAAATGTATTTTGACTGTTCAGGAAAAGTTACAAAATTTGGAGACCCTGTCATCAAAAGTTAAAAAAAAGAAGCATATGTCTTGAAACAAAGTTTACGTTTGATTTTAGACCTGTAAATGTAATTGATTTCAGACATATCTTTAAAATAGATTTGCAAAAAATTCCCTAGGTGAAATTATTTTTGAAAGTTGAGATTATAACTTAGAAGACTTAATATTAACATCTTCAGAAGAAACAGTTCAGGTGTTTTGACTTTAAACCTGATGGTCCATTTACAGCTTAAGATTTATGATACTGTTCGATTTCCAAAAAGGGGAGCTCCCCCCCCTGTAAGAACAAGAGAGTGGCGTGTGCCCTGGCCCCACCCCTCTCGGTTACGGCCCTGCATATTGTCGATTTAAATCTGTGAAATTAGTTGATTTAAAAATTTTCGTTGTTGAAGAATGAAATCAAGAAATATAAAAAAATTTAATTTCTAAACATTTATGTTTGATGTTTAATCTTATTGTATCATAATGAAGTCTTGACAACAAAAGTATGCAGACATTTTATTTTCTCTGTCGAAAAAGATCACTTTGCTGTGTTGGGTCCAGATGTGACACTCTTTGTAGGGTTTTGGCCAAGTCACGGGTTTTGGACCTTTCATCCCCATTATTTGCATACATTTTAATTCATTATTCTACCCAGCTAACACTATACTTTTCTCGATTTACATACATTTCATTCATTTCATTTAAGTCGCAACCCAGCTAAAGGGATATAAACAATGGTATTTTTTAAAAGATCTTGATTTTACTTAATTGATTTCGCAGATTTTGAAATTTTGAACTTTCTTATAAGTACATGCATGGATTCAAGGTATTAATGCAAGGAAAGTTATTTCAGAGGTGTACGCATTTTTTGTACTGTAGTGTACTGTGTTTGGGCGGAAAACTAAACCCCGATATTGTGAACCCCGATATACAAATAATAAACAGACAATTTTACTTTAAATCTTTTCTAAATCTAAGGGTACCATTATGAATTTAAAAAAGCATTTTTTTTAAAATGATGTCCTCATGGAACCATTTCACTTCTTTCGAACACTTTCAAGGTTTTAAAGGTTTATATCAAAAAGTGTTTTGTATTGGTTGGGGAGGGCTCTCAGGATATGATTGTCTTGCTCTTAGAAACGATAGGAGGGGGAGGGGTGTTTAGAANGGGAGCAGCTGCTCTTATGTTCCCACCTGTTGATTCCTCATATCTTAAATACTTAGGTTAGATATCATAGTTATACCCACTCTAATCTAGACATACAGAAATGGTCAAATTTCTGCGGAATTATCCGTACGACTTTTTGATCTCGTTTTTTCTCTCGAGTTTGAACAAACTTAACATCCAAAAGATTTTTGTTTTGTTGCATATTTGATACTTTATTTTACAATAAGAATGTAAAATTTCAATCTACGTAAGATCTACTGTAATTACAATTTTTATTGCAAATTTGTTTTTACTTAAGCTTGCATTCAGTTTTTTAGACTGCATAATATCCTTAAAATAAATTGATCTAAAGGAATTGAGTCGATCTTTACCACAAACTCTAATTTTAAGACTTAAGTTTTTTTGACATCAAAGTTTAACTTTTTATTACAACAACGTACGATTACATGACATACAACAGTAAACAAAAATGATAATCTTAAATCTTAAAAATTAAATGTACAGTTAAACGATCAGGAGGGGTCCCAGGGTTTAGGAGTTGCTCCCAGGGTTTAGGAGTAAAATGTAAAAAGGAATTGAGTCTTTGTCACAAACTTAAATTTTCTAATACCTAATGGCGCTGTTTATAGAAAAAATCTTCAAATTATTGAGATATCTGAGGAGACCTTCTAAAAGTGTAAGTCAATGATTAGATTCTTGAAATATTTATAAAATCTTGGGAAGATTTTTTAGAGAAAAGAAATTGTTTTCATTAACATGATGCAAGTTTTTTACATCAAAATGATTATGAATATGAGTACATTACATCAACACAGTTAACAAAAATAATAATCTTAAATATAAAATGTACAGCTAAACCCCTCTTAAAAACTATAAGGGAAAACTTTTGTAACATTTTTAAAAAGCAGCAAATTTGATTCCAAGGAACGTTATTGGAAATACAAATTTTATGGCAAGTGGTGTAATTAAAATTGATCAATTTTAGCAAAAATAGTTTATTTTCTGAACCATTTAACTTTTGAAAGACTTGTATGGAAATGTTTCTCTACGCGGCAAACGTGTAAGAGTCGCGAATTTACTCTGGATAGAATTCAAAATAGCCGCATTCTGTTAACTTTTTACTTAAAGTAACGTCATTAGATTCAATTTCATAAATACCACATATTTGATAAATACATGAATACCACATATTTGATAAATACATGAATACCACATATTTGATAAATACATAAATACCACATATTTGATAAATATATAAATACCACATTTTTGATAAATACATAAATACCACATATTTGATAAATACATGAATACCACATATTTGATAAATATACAAATACTTCATATTTGATAATTACATGAATACCACATATTTGATAAATACATAAACACCACATATTTGATAAATACATAAATACCACAAATTTGATTTGATAAATACTTATTTACCACATATTTGATACATATTTAAATACCACATATTTGATAAATATTTAAATACCACATATTTAATAAATACATAAATACCACATATTTGATAAATATATAAATACCACATATTTGATAAATACATAAATACCACATATTTGATAAATACATGAATACCACATATTTAATAAATACATGAATACCACATATATTTGATAAATATATAAATACCAAATATTTGATAAATACATAAATACCAGTAATTTGATAAATACATAAATAAAAATACATTTCAGGTTTTGGTAGACACGTAATACTCCGGGTTAGATACAGCTTGAACTCTTGGATCAGATTCGTCCATCTCCGGGTAGATGTCGGAGTACTGGACAGGATAGGATGGTCTTGGAACTGGATCAAGACTAGGAGAGATACAAGGTGCCAAACTAGATCTATTAGAGGTCTTTATGGAAGAAGGTGTGTTACATGTTGTGATAGGTATTGAGGGCTGTGAATTACCATCTTCTGTATCCTCAAGAACAACAATACTCGGACCTTGGGCCAATAGTGTAATCTTAGATCCTCCTAACTTTAAACCAGGTTCGGAGTAAGTTTCAAGACAACGATTTTCCGGGTTAAATGCTAGACAAGGCTTTGGCTCCAAGTTTGATTTTAGAGCTTCGGATCCAGGACAGTTGATGGATTCGGATCCAGAACAGTAGATGGATTCGGATCCAGGACAGTTGATGGATTCGGATCCAGGACAATTGACGGATTCGGATCCAGGACAAATGACGGATTCGGATCGATAGTTATAGCATTGGATTGGATCCCCAGGTAAACATTCGAACTTGGATCCGAACTGGTTTAAGGATTCAGAATGTGAACTCAGGAAGGGATTGGATCCTTTCTGTGAATCGGTGTTGATACAAGGTTCAGATCCAGGTCCAAATTGTGACGGTAAGTCAGCTCCAGGTACTCGGAAGGGTTCTACAGTATCAAGGTTGGTTTCAGGATATATCTTTTCAAGATTCTAAAAAATTAAAATATTGAAGCTTGCAAAAGAATTTTATTAAAGAAAAAAAAATTTGAATTTCCTGTATCATTTGTTAGTAATTATAGTGCACTGTAAAATGTTTTTTTTTGTATTCATGTGAGGGACTGGGTTACTCACAAAGAATTCAAGACTTCAGAGACGACTGTACGGAATTTATTCAACCTTTTTTTAACATTTATTTGTTTCTTATAGCTATAAACTTGTTTTCATTTCAAGAATGTATTTCAGGTAGAAATCATTAAATCATTGAATCAAAAGAGTTTTAAATCCTCATTTATAAAGTCTCATCCTTTTTGGGTAACCCTGAATAAACAGTGAAAAAAGAATACCACTTTATTTTATTTTTTTAATCTTTTTGTTTATTTGGAACTTCATGACATTTTAAAGTTTAATTATATTTTTCTAATCAGTTTGAAGACAAATTAAAAAAGCTGGCTGTATACATATTTACTTACTTATACTGTCTATTTTTTGTCTGTTGTTTTCTTTTAATAAACCATCTTTAGAATTCAATTTAACCATTGTTAAACTTTCTCGAAATAAACAATTAAGATAATAAATTAAAACTTTATTGAAGACGACATTTATTCCCGTTCTTTTTCGTATTAACCCTATTCCTGCTGGGGGGGGGGGTCAATTTGACCCCCCCTGTAGTTTTTTTTACATAACTCAAAAAGTATTGGTCTGAGGCTGTTGAAATTTTCTGACTTTTCCTACATACCCAAAGCCCTCCCTTTAGGCCTAAAACCGGGCTTTAATACTAACTGCCTGAGTCCTCAGGCACACTGCCTGAATGACTGTTTTTTCCTGTAACAAACTAAATCTTTGTTTTGACCCACTTCCACTTGTCAGATTTTGATCAAATTTAGCTTTTTGGAAAGCCTTTGACATAAGAAAACGAATTGCACAAGTTTTGCGAACAAAAAATAGCACATTTTTTGCAAACAACCTGTCAAAGGAAATTTGCACGTTTTTAGTTTTTCTTGATTAGAAATAAGGTTATTTAAAATTTTGCAAAAATTTTTGCATATTTAAAATGGCATGGTCAAGGGCTTTACAAAAATGTATAATTTATCATTTTTTGGACAAATTTTTTTTGCAAACATTTTTACTATATAACTGGATTTTGCGATAAAAAATTCAATTTTTGCAAATTTGCAATTTTTTTGCAGATTCTAAAAGTAGAGCACAAAAGCTTTCCCATAATGTATCATTTGTCATATTTGGACATCAAACATGGGATTTAGAGGGGGGGGGGGTCAAATTGACCCCCCCCCCAGCATATCCTGGTTTTCAAGTACCCCAGCAGAGATAGGGTTAAGCAAAACTCTGTTAAATATTGAAATGATAAACCAAAATATTAAAATAATGAACCTGTAATTGGATTCCATTGTTATCCTCTCCAAGTCCTTCCTCTTCTCCTTCTCCTAACCCACCAACAGCCAAGTCGCCGAGCTTTAGATAACTCTGAATAAGGATGAACCATTGTGAAACTTTAAACTACAAATGTTAACCATTATTTGGCTGGATTATTTCTGTTTAATAAACAGAGGTAGGCGATCATATCAATACAATGAAGACGACTTTTTTATATAATTATTTATTGTTAACAAGCTTTTTTCGAATTACAAGTTTACAAGAAATTTAAAGAGAAGCTTTTTTAATTGACAGGTTCTCTTTGTTTTCATGATTTTGAGTATCCATGCTGTTTAAAAACTTGATTTTTAAATCAAAATTAAAATCGAAAGTCGGCTTAAATATATATTGATATAATCGCCTATGAGGCTATGACAATTGATAATTGGTGTGAATGTATATTGATTATATTTATTATTATTAAAGACTTTTCAATACTCAAATATATTTTACTTTGAAATCAATTTTACTAAAATTTTACTTTTAGCGATGGGCAATAACTAGATTCTTTTTACAGAACTTTCAAAATATTTTTAGACTTTTAGAAGGTTTTACGATAATCTAAGAAGGATCCAACATTTAAAACTTTATTCTCTAGAAGTTTGCTTTTATCAAACATGCAAATTTGTTATCCTAGGGGAAAATATAAAGCAAAAGCGCACCCAACTTATCGTTTTAAAAACCCGAAAACAATAGTTTTAAAACGACCGTTTTGTGTATGTGTATGTCTGATAAAAGCAACCTTCTACAGAATAAAGTTATTAATGTTGGATCCTTCTCATGTCACGTCCCACCCCGGTGTACATTTTGAATATCCGAGCTGGGTCAACCTGGAGTCGACAAATCAAATAATTTTTGTTTCCAGTATAAGGAAGACGATTAATGTTTGAAGACGACATTTGTCTTTACAAAAATTTTATTTTCTGATTTTTAAATATTAAATCCTGACCTCAACAAGTCCTTCAGTTATTTCCTCATGAATCTTTTCAGTCAATTCTAAATAAGAGTTAAATAAATTTTGTCCTTAAAGGGACAGACCGGCTATGTAAGGTAGTTGAACTGAGTTTGAAGTGTTTTGGACAAATTATTTAGGATTGATTTGAGATATATAAAACGTTTTCTCGATGTATAATTACTGAGCTTGAGCGCAAAGTCGACGTTCAAAATCATGAATTAGGGTGGGTACGTTTTCAGAATCGGTTTTTTAATTATTAAATAACGACGATGAAAAAAATAGTAAAAATTCTATAGTAAACTAATTAAATGTTTAGGAACATATTTCTCAAAGGAAATTTGTCAATAAATCGAAGTTAGAATTAATTATTTCCTTTTTCATCATTATATTGAATTTCTTATTTTCTATGAATTTGCTCGCAGATTTCTTCAAATTCTTCAAATGTCGTCTTTTTAGAAAAAAATCAAGAAAATCTGCAGAATATCTTTGTGATGAAAGAGAGATTATAGAAACTAATAATTGAATAAGATTACTTATTTTCGATGATAAGAGTTAATTTTTATTTTCTTAACCTGTTCCTAAACAACCAATTAGTTTAATAAAAAAAACAATTCTGAAAACGCATCCAACCAAAAGTATGATTTTAACGTCGACTTTGCGCTCAAACTCAAGATTTACAGATATTTAAAATGCGTTATATGTCTCAAATAAATCCTAAAGAATTTGTCCACAACTGCATACTCAGCTTAACTACCTTACATAGCCGGTCTGTCCCTTAAAATTGTATGTAAAGGGAGTGTTTGCGAAATAAGATTATTGAGAAAGAAATTATGCGCGGGTTTTAATTTTGTAAGCGAATTGAAATACATAATCAATTCGTCTTTATTTCTTAACAGAGAGAGTGAAGAATCAGATCTTACGAATAAGATTTTATGTTATCACAAGGTGCATTAACGTCCTGTTAGTACAGATTAAACTAGTGTTCAGGATTTAACTTAAAACGAATTGATAAAGGTATCCTTTTATTGCTACAGTGAGAACCAGAAAATGTGAAATAGGAAGACGACTTTATAGCAATAATTAAGTGCTTTTGTTGTTGTTTTAAAGCAAATAGTTTACTAGTAACTTATTAAATCCCTTGTTAGTTATTATGTCAAGTGGGTCCGTTCACACTTCATAATTCCTGTGTTCTATGTTCATTGGACTATTTTAAGTCTTAATTTGTTTCTAAATTCGTCCTCCTATTTAAAAGTTTTCTAGTTTTCTAGTTTTCATTGAGCCCAAATCGTCCCAAATTAACGGGCGTATTTAAGACGTACTTTGTATGTCAACGTACATACTCTGCTAGAGTTTATCCGCCTGGTCCGCCAGATGTCAGATCCAAAGTATAGGTGTCAGCACATAATCTAATTTGATTATGCTTGTTTTTTTTCGAGAGGGGTCGTGTTTCATCGATTTCGGACGGCCACAGTCGGAGACGTCATATGTTTGCAAAAAGTACGGATGGGACGAATCGGGCTCTATACATACGTCACTAGTCAATTGTGTGGACCCGATAGAATGTCGTCTTGTATCTCAAACTTAACGATTTCTTTTGAATTCTCAGGATGATATTACGAAGAGAGTATGGAACTGTGCACAGAATTTTAAATAAAAATTATATATTTTTAATTATGGATTCTCTATAATAAAAGTTATTTAAGGATTTCTTGCTAAAGAAACTTTGAAAGAAGTTATAGAATTAAACATTTTTAAGTCCCTTTTAAGATTGTTATCTTATATTCAAGACTCCCTGCCTTACTTAATTTTCCAAATTACATTTAAATCCATAATTTAAAAGTTTTTCCATAATGTCGTCGTCCAAATCTCATATTATATGGTCAGCTCTTTGCGTAAAGAGGTATCTCTATGCACTTATGGATATCAGTAGGTGTTTGCTTAGTGATCTATTTGTAAATATTATGTATATATAGCTGACCCCTTTAATTTATTGAGTCTTATGAAATATAAATGTAAAATGGGGAAATAATAAGTCTATATTAACTCTGGATTGCACATATAAGTCTATACAATACTGTGTATTCCAAAATATTGTTAAAACAGGTTTTTATGTAGATATGTTTAAAAGTGATTAAAATTTCATGATTAAAATCTCTACGTATAGAATATATTACACGGTGTTCCGTAAAATATGTATTTAAATAAATCTGCATTATTTTTGAGACACTCTGTACAGCACTTTATATGCATTATATATAAGGCTCCCCGGCAAGTCACTAGGGTATGACTAATGACTAATATTTCGAGTGTAAAGCAGAATCATTTTATAGATAGATAGATACATAATTATACACAACAGTGTGTACAAAAAATACATAAATCATAATTTGATACTATAATGATAACCCTCATAGATTTCAGTATCCCTAACTTGCGAACCCATTACCCAGCATTGCCTGGAAACAAAGGTTTCTTCCTAAAAATCAAATTATTTAACCAAGAACTTCTAATTAAGCTAACAACATTAGCAATAGATAGATCGATAGATAGATCGATAGATAGATCGATAGATATATCGATAGATAGATCGATAGATAGATAGATAAATAGATAAATAAGCTGACCTGCCGAGCGAGAATATCTCCCATAGAACAACTCCATAAGACCAGACGTCAGATTGAACAGAGAATATTCTAAAATAGTTTTTGTTGGAGTGTAGCAATTAACCTTTAGTTTCATTTTTGGTGGATGCTTATTTTAAGGTTAGTTTTGAAACATTAAACTCTCAGTTTGTGATACTTATTCGTAATGGAAATTTATTTAATGGCTTTTAATTCTTTCCAATATTTAACATTCATAGTTGCACGATCATAAATGTATTTACGTTAAGTTAAATTACAGTTCACGTTATTAAAATATATCCTAGGCGCAACTGGGGTGCGCCCCCNAATGAAAAGAAAGATTGGTAAATATCAGTATCACAGGAGTCAGGAATAATAAAACCAAAAGAGTTATTGTAGAAATTGTATTCTACTATGGTTAGTTAAAAAAAGGACAGATATTGTTGAATTGTTCTTTTTTAATCATAAGATATTTTTTATTTTAGAGTGATTTTAATTCTCCTTAAAGGAATTTTTGCCACAAAGTCTGATATTTTAACCCCTTTATCTTTGCAACCCAATGTCTTAGAATTCAAACTTTGAATTACTTTGGAAATATCAAAAGTTTACACCACTCAGTGCAAATATTTAGGGATTAGAATATTTGAATTTGTGGCAAAAACTCAGTTCCAAATCTAATTGTTTTTATCATAACATTGATTATTCACGAGGTATTGAGATGAACAAAACAGTTTTCACTTTCTACTGTAACCAAATAAATTTGCAGCAAGGACGTATACAGGGGGGGCTAGTGGGGTAGTGCCCCCGCTAGACCTGTAAAGGAACTCAGAGCTATCATGCTTTTCAAATCTAAAACTGAACAGTGAAGAGCATAAAAAATTAGCTTTTGCAGTTTTTTTTTCTGCTAGTTTTGGTTGAAGGAGAGATAAAGTAAGGCATAAATTGGAGTGTATGTTTTGCGTAAAGAGGTATCTCTATGCACTTATGGATATCAGTAGGTGTTTGCTTAGTGATCTATTTGTAAATATTATGTATATATATATATATATATATATATATATTATATTGTTTGTTTTCGTTATTAGAATATATATACATATATGCAAACCTAATAAAACTAATGCATTCTAGAGCTGTTCTAGAGCACAATAGAGCTGTTCTGGCGCAAAGTAATCTTTGAAGTGAAAACATTTAAGCTAGGGAAAAGGGGCGTTTTCGGCGATTTCTTAAAGTATAATATTACAGAGGGCAAGGTTGAGGAAGGTTGGGAAATTGTAGAAAAAAAATATTTACCTAAAAATGATGGTCTCATACTTGGATCCTCATGCCAACAGTCCAGCATTACTTTATACCTGATTCATCATCATCATCATCATCATCATCATCATCATCATCATCATCATCATCATCATCATCATCATCATCATCATCATCATCATCATCATCATCATCTCCATCACCATGACTTTTTAATATTTTATAAAAACTTTACTAACAATTCATTAGTAGAAAACTCCGGTTTCTCCATTCTATGTCCTTGCTCCAACCTAACGTAAACAATATAAGTTCTATAAACTTACATACTATGCGTGAAATTAAAGTAAATCTCTTGTAAGATGGAAACTTATATGTTCTTATTTTTAACTCTTCCTAACGGAGAGCCATTGAGAAGAACAAAAATGTTTTGAATTTTGAGTATGTAACTTATAAAAGGAATTGAGTCTTTGTCACAAACTATTTTCTTCTAATCTCTATATCTTTGTAACCCCATGCCGTAGATATTTCAAACTATGAATTCTGTTAGATGAATAAATCTAAGTTTGAAATATCAAAGGTTTACACCATCAGGTGGAAAAAATATAGGTATTAGAAAATCAGAGTTTGTTACAAAGACTCAATTCCTTTCCTTCTCTCATACTTGATACTTGTGGATAAAATTAAAACTATAGAGTAACCACCAGGTCACAACAGTAACATCGTATAAATTATTAGAGTAACCACCTGGTCACAACACTAACATCGTATAAATTATTTCTCTACACTTTGGAAAATCGTACAAAGTAATAACTTTACGATGCTGCAGTTGTGACATTCTTCTCTTTAACTTTTATTTACAATATCCACATAATGACCTTTAAGATACAGGGTGTCCCATGGGAATTCAGTGACCATTTAAGTTATCTTTAATTTGTGTTTTTTTTTCATTTTTTTAAAAATTATTTAATTAATCTATTTTCTACCTTTGAGTAAAGCTATGATCTTGCTGTACACCAGGATATGGGGACCTGTAGATAGATAGATGGATAGCTATATTAGAAGATAGATAGATTTGCATTATCTCGTTGCAAAGATATGTAGGGATTTATAAATATTTTTTTTTGCCAAGTGTTAAGTTTCTTTGTCATAGATAGATCGATAGATAGATCGATAGATAGATCGATAGATAGATCGATAGATAGATCGATAGATAGATCGATAGATAGATCGATAGATAGATCGATNACCCAATGTCTTAGAATTCAAACTTTGAATTACTTTGGAAATATCAAAAGTTTACACCACTCAGTGCAAATATTTAGGGATTAGAATATTTGAATTTGTGGCAAAAACTCAGTTCCAAATCTAATTGTTTTTATCATAACATTGATTATTCACGAGGTATTGAGATGAACAAAACAGTTTTCACTTTCTACTGTAACCAAATAAATTTGCAGCAAGGACGTATACAGGGGGGGCTAGTGGGGTAGTGCCCCCGCTAGACCTGTAAAGGAACTCAGAGCTATCATGCTTTTCAAATCTAAAACTGAACAGTGAAGAGCATAAAAAATTAGCTTTTGCAGTTTTTTTTTCTGCTAGTTTTGGTTGAAGGAGAGATAAAGTAAGGCATAAATTGGAATGTATGTGTACCTTTAACATATCCAAGAAGCCAAATGTTTTGAAATTACAGTTTAAATTTTGGGAATTTCGATTTGCGCATATTTGCCCCTCCCCCCCCCCTAGATTTTTTTATGTATAGTGTATACAACCTTGATTTGCACAAGGTTACAAAGTCCTACTAGTACTGGCAGTTATGTCACATAAATATTATTTTGGAAGTTATTAAAAGGAATAATCCGCTTCTAATCTCCAATGCAAGCAAAACTTCGAATCTAATCTATCTAAACCGAATATGACATTTCATAATTTAGTTATTATCATAGGTGGTTGCTATATATATTAGCAGAAGGGGCGAGGATCTATAAAAGCTATGATAGCCAAACATCCTTCAGATAATTTATGAATAACTTGTTTGTCAACTACAGGGTTCCTCACAAAGAATAAGACTGTAAAGACGACCTAAAATTCTTTAAATATCACGAATCCAAGGTTAAATCAAGTCTTCTGCCTTGAACACAGTCTTTTTATTGATTGGAGTCCTCTCATCCTTTGTGGGTAACCCTGTATAACTACCTGTAGTTTAATGTCTCCAGAGCCAACCATTTAATTGGTAGAGGGGTATCCGTCAATTTCTGGTAGTTCGGGTTACCATAGATATTCTGCAAATAGTGGATATTCTACAAACAGTGGATATTCTACAAACAGTGGAAAATCTACAAACAGTGGATATTCTACAAACAGTGGATATTCTAAAAATAGTGGATATTCTACAAACAGCGGATATATTCTACAAATAGTGGATATTCTACAAATAGTGGATATTCTACAAATAGTGGATATTCTACAAATAGTGGATATTCTTCAAATAGTGGATATATTCTACAAACAGTGGATATTCTACAAATAGTGGATATTCTACAAATAGTGGATATTCTACAAATAGTGGATATTCTTCAAGTAGTGGATATTCTACAAACAGTGGATATTCTACAAATAGTGGATATTCTACAAACAGTGGATATTCTGCAAACAGTGGATATTCTACAAATAGTGGATATTCTACAAACAGTGGATATTCTACAAATAGTGGATATTCTACAAACAGTGGATATTCTACAAACAGTGGATATTCTACAAAAAGTGGATATTCTACAAACAGTGGATATTCTGCAAACAATATAAAATGGTATGTAATTATTACAATATAATGAACCGACTTTTTTATTCAAGTTTCAATTTTTAACAAGCTTTTTTCGAATTACAAGTTCATAAGTGATAGCTTCTCTTGACGTCAATGCTTATGTACTTCCATGCCGAAAGTCGTCTTTATTGTTTTGCTATAATTGCCTAACACTGTATAAAAACATTTTTGTTCATTATTACCTTATTTAAGATAAAACAAAAGAAAAGTTACTACTATTTGTTCAACTTAATTTTATCAAAAACTACTTTGAAATTAGATAGGAATTCTAATTTTCTAGTCTAATTTTAAATCTGATATTTGAAACTTTGTCTATTTGATCTAGCTGAATGCAAACGCTTCAAATATCTTTGACTCTAGACTTTAGAGACATTAGGCTGAACAAAGTTTAGAAAAGTTTGAGGTGAGTAATTTAATCTTTTTACTTTTTTTTTGGAACGAGAATCCATCATAGAACTCAGGATCGACCCCCACCCTCCTCTTCAATTTTTTTGCAACCTTGCAAAACTTTATATGATATTCGAGATAGGTTAGCTGTTAAGACAATTTCTAAGCCAGTGCTGCGGCTATAGGACCGGCTAGGAGGCCGAGCGCCGCGGTTAGGACAGATCTAATATAAAGTCTCGCAAGGTTTCATATAAATTTTAGGACAAAAGGGGGGGGGCTATCCCTCACTCTAAGAAAATACCAATCACTGACCTTGGAAAGTCCAAAATCTGATATTTTGACAATTCCTGATTGATTGAGAAGTATATTTCTAGCTGCCAGGTCACCATGCACAATCTAGAATATTTTATAGAGACTTTTCAGTGATGTTTCAGATAAACATTGATAAATAATTTAACAGTGTCTCAGTAAACATCTCAACCCCTGAGATTTTGAGGCAAAAAATGTCCCCAATCCCTGTCCTAAATCCTTTATATTTCAAAAGTTTTTGTTCTAATTTTCAGAATTTTTTGCTCCTAAAAAATATCGCCCCCCTCCTCTGCCAAAAATAACTTTTTTTGCTTAAAAAAAGTCATTGGAAAATTTAATTTAGACCATTTTTATCCGAACGAAATTCCCCCCCCCCCCCGGAAAACACAAAAATAAGATTATTGAATGATTCTAATCTTGTATTAAGAAACATTTACCATTGAAATAGAACACTTGATAGATACACGATGCAAACAACAATTTACATATCTTTTACCTTTTTAGAAGCTAAATATTCCATCCCCTTGGCAATCTGGAAGCACCAGGATAGAAGATGTCTGGTTGTTAAAGGACCAAACTTGGCAATTAAAAAATTAATTATTTGATTTTTTTATCAAAGAAAACTATATTTTTTAATCAAAGAAATTGATTTTTTGTATACCAGATAATAATAGTGAGAGAAAGAGGTGAACCTCAGAGAAATAGTTGAACCGTTATTTTCTTGTTTAACGTTTCAAGTTGAAGAGAGAAGTATTTTAAATTTTTATACGCGGTTCAACAAGTTCTTACGATTTATTTTTTGTCTAAGGAATAAAAATTAGAAATTTTCTATATTTTATTACAGAGACTAAATATAAGAATTTTAAGTGTACTAACAGTTCATAGCAATTCATAATTACAAAGCAATTCATAGTAATTCATAGCAATCCATAATTACATAGCAATTCATAGCAATTCATAATTACATAGCAATTCTAAACAATCCATAATTACATAGCAATTCATAGCAATCCATAATTACATAGCAATTCATAATTACAAAGGAATTCATAGCAATCCATAATTACATGGCAATTCATAGCAATCCATAATTACATAGCAATTCATAGCAATTCATAATTACGAAACAATTCATAGCAATCCATAATTACAAAGAAATTCATAGCAATCCATAATTTTACATAGAAATTCGTAGCAATCTATAATTCCATAGCAATTCATAGCAATTTATAATTCCATAGCAATTCAGGCCCGTAACGAGGGGGGTGCAAGGATGCAGGTGCACCCCCCTTTCTTCTGAAAGGGGGGTGCAATGACGAATTTGCACACACCCCCCCCCCCAGTCCCATGTAAAAGAATTTAAGAAATTGTTTCTCATAATTTTCTAAAATCTAGTTACCAATAATCTGTTATACAAAGTAAAACATCCTTTAAAGTTTGAACAGTTGGTTAAAAGGAAAAAATTTATCCATTTATTTTGGAATATAATAGCCATTTTTGAAAGTTTCAAAAACATTATTTTAAGCGAGGATATTTGTCATTTTTAGTCAAAGTAGAAGGGTTTTTTTAGTACTCAAAAATTCACTAAGAATGTCTCAATGTCTCAATGTCAATAAATAAACTCTTTTAAACAAAATATTAGAAATTTTATTTTTTATTCATCTTCATAGTATCATGATGATGCCGAGGGACAAGAAGCCTTGATTTTAAATGATGAATTTTTTCCTTAAGCTTAAGTCATTCATTTATTTTTTATGTATATTGTATATGTAAACTGAAAAGTTCCAGACACTAAAATGTTATCCTTAAAAGCTTAAATAAACTTGTTAAAAAGGTTAGTCTTTATACCGTACATTGGCAATGTTTAAGAAAACAATATACGTAAAAACAATCCAAGCATTGCTTTAAAAAAAAACTAAAATTATTTTTTTCCCTGCGGCGCGCTTCCTTGCACCCCCCCCCCCCTGCAAAAATCCTGGTTACGGGCCTGTAGCATTGCAATAACTTTCAGTCTATTTATTCAGAGCATTTATGATTACAAGAAATATTTAGTCATATTTTTTAACATATAGCAATAGTCTTAATTGTTTAAATTGATAAACTGAAAGAGTTTTTAGGACTTAAATTTGATTGACTCCGTCTTTTACTTTTCCATTAGAAAATTCATAAATTTTGGCCCCAGCATTCATCGACGTGAGAATATTAGCAGGAATAAACCTTTTGTGTACCGACTAAAAACTAAAGTTATATACATCAACCATGGTAAACCTTTTGTGTACCGACTAAAAACTATATCAATCTTAAAAATGTCGTCTTGTCAATTTTCCAATAATACCTAAAATTTTATTCCATAGATAATAGAATATATATTAGAGAGACATTTAAAGAATCTCTAGGTATGAATTTTTTCAGTCCCTTTGAGTCTGAAAGGGAGTTCAAAGTGTACAAATCATGTAAATGTTCACAAATTATGTGCAGTAGAGTACATTAATACAGTATGTTCCCTAGACTTTCATTTCAATTTCGAAATTTTTAAAGCTGTTAAATAAACTTTATAATAAATTAGGTGAATACCATCATTTGATTTATATTTATAACGGAAAATCATCGTTTGTAAAGTGAAAGGCATAGAGTCTATGTGAAATGATCATTGGTCAATTATGAAACCAACCTATTTCATAATTTGGTTTTCTTTTAACATTAATTTTAGATTTTCTATAAAATTATATTTCAGGGCCCAAAAGGTTATATAGCATAAATATGTGAAGTACACCTGCAGTATGAAAACAGTACAACAAAATGGCTGTTTTACACTTTTTTCTAGTAAATTCCCCTCTTATATATATTCTATTTTCTTTGTTTAATTCTCAGTAATTGTAAAAATGACTAAATAGTCATGAAGTATGCGAGAAGACCTCTTTATAATTTTTCAATTTAAAAAATCGATATCTCCAGCATTCTATTATCAGTAAATTCAGATATGGTTTGTTCAAGATCTAGAGGTTTCTCGTTCACAAAAAACCCTGAAGCAGGAGTCTAAAGGAGTTACGCGCACGCCGTGTTAAATGACAAGAGGATGTGCGTAGCTTCTTTGGGCTTCTTCCTTTAAGTAATTTTGAACAAAAAAACCCTAAATCTTGAAAAGACGACATCTAGTGTTCTATCTGTATTGTTATAAATCTATGACTACCTCGTGTACATAATTAATATCGTCTGTTTCCCCTTTATTCTGTAGTTTTGTATATGTAGGGAAAACATCACAGTATTCTAAACATAGATTATTCAGTTAGGATAGATATCATAGATAGGAAAGAAAGGACAGATAGGACAGATGTGATAAATAGGACAGATAGGACAGATATAGGAAAGATAGGACAGATATGAAAGATAGGACACTTTGACTTGTGAAACTTAGAACGGATAGTTCACTTAGAAAAGATAGGACACTAAGAACAGATAGGACAGATAGGACATATTTACCTATTCCTTGTCCTTTTGTGGAAGTTATGTATGAGGTTTCAGTATTTCCGTCCGGATAATCTGAATCGGTAGATACTCCTGAATCCTGAAACAGATCTTATCATCTGAATCCGTGGATAATCCTGAATCCTGTAATATGATCTTATCATCTGAATCCGTAGATAATCCTGAATCCTGTTATATATTCTTATAATCTGAATCCAGATACTCCTGAATCTTGTAATATATTCTAATAATCTGAATCCAGATACTCCTGAATCTTGTAATATATTCTAATAATCTGAATCCAGATACTCCTGAATCTTGTAATTCTGAATCCAGATACTCCTGAATCATGTAATATATTCTAATAATCTGAATCCAGATACTCCTGAATCTTGTAATATATTCTAATAATCTGAATCCGTAGATAATCCTGAATCCTGTAATATATTGAATGATTATCGTGATTTCGAAAATGTTCTCAAATTTATGAAATATTATTATTATTATTATTATTATATTATTATATTTTAATTATAAAGATTATTCACACACAAAGATATAAATACATATTTAAATGGTGTAGTTTAAATTTGTTTAAATAATTTGAATATGTAGTTTTACAAATAAAAGAGAAAAGTATGCAAAATTATGCACAAATAGGCGACATTGATCATTACTCATTACAAAACATATTTTAATTTCAGTTATTACGTAATCATCGAATCCAATATATAAATTGTTCGTTCTTGTATTTCAAAGTTTTTGTAAAACCGGAACTTTCCCTGCATGGTCCAACGGGACACCAAAATATTTCATTTGTTTCATCTTAATATATTACTCTGGCTTGATATTGATATCAAACTTTGGAAATAAGATCACCAAAAGATACCTAAAAGGGACTAAATTAATCCGTTGATCTGCATAAGATAGATTTTAATGCTTTGCTTGAGATTCACTATATATATAAAGTTTTAATCTCTGTTTGTCTGTCTGTTTGTTTGTCTGATCATAACTTATGAACCCTCGACCGATAGGCCTACTTTTTAATGGGGAACTGGGTAGAACCACGGAAATGTTCTTAGCTTGGTTTTGGCATTCTAGGTTGGGTGGGTCGTAATTTTTGACATAGCTTTGGTAAACGGTGGGACTAGCTATGACTACCCTGGCACTACTTCAGGTAAACGGTGGGACTAACTATGACTACCCTGGTCACTACTGCAGGTAAACGGTAGGACTAGCTATGACTACCCTGGGCACTACTGCAGGTAAACGGTGGGACTAGCTATGACTACCCTGGGCACTACTGCAGGTAAACGGTGGGACTGAACTATGACTACCCTGGGCACTACTGCAGGTAAACGGTGGGACTAACTATGACTACCCTGGGCACTACTGCAGGTAAACGGTGGGACTAACTATGACTATCCTGGGCACTACTGCAGGTAAACAGTGGGACTAGCTATGACTACCCTGGGCACTACTGCAGGTAAACGGTGGGACTAACTATGACTACCCTGGGCAATACTGCAGGTAAACGGTGGGACGAACTATGACTACCCTGGGCACTTCTGCAGGTAAACGTTGGGACTAACTAAGACTACTCTGGGCACTACTGCAGGTAAACGGTAGGACTAACTATGACTACCCTGTGCACTACTGCAGGTAAACGGTAGGACTAACCATGACTACCCTGGGCACTACAGCAGGTAAACGGTGGGACTAAAACAATTATCACATAATTCCTCTAGCCCTGGGATTTCCAAAAAGTGGTCTGCGTTTTTTGTGCTTTCAATATTACCGGAGATATAAAGAATTTGGTTCAGATTTCAATTTTGTTAAATAAAAGAAAAATTGTCGAAATCTAAATGAAATTGTTCATATCTCGGGCAATATTGAAAGCACAAAAAATGCAGACAACATTTTGGAAATGGCAGGACTAGGGGAATTTTGTGATTATTATCTCTAGAAATTTACTTCTAAAATTAGGCTGACAAATAAACGCAGCAAATTATATCAAAAATCAAGACGACATTCAAGGCCTCTTGCATACTGTCATGTTTCGTGGGACACCCTGTACTGCAGGTGAACGGTGGGACTAACTCTGACTACCCTGGGCACTGCTGGGTTCCCAGTTTAGTTTAATAAATATCTAGTTAAGCTCTAACCATTAATATAACCATATTAAGGTTTGTTTACATATTTTTCATATAAAACAATGTATATTCTCCTTCCTGGCTCATTGCTTGGTTTAATCAGTCTGGGTAAACATTACTAAAGTGCAGTCTGTTTACTGAACACCAAATATTTATGTACATTGTACAGTGTACAATGTACACTTTATACTGTACCTGTACAGTGTACAATGACGTAAATTTGAAACTATACCCGTACAATAAACTGTACATGACAATGATGTATACTTTTTACTGTATACTGTACAGTGATGTACACTTTATACTGTACCTGCACAATGATGTACATTTTAAACTGTACAATGGTGTACACTTTATACTGTACCTGTACAATGATGTACATTTTAAACTGTACAATGGTGTACACTTTATACTGTACCTGTACAATGATGTACATTTTAAACTGTACAATGGTGTACACTTTATACTGTACCTGTACAATGATGTACATTTTAAACTGTACAATGGTGTACACTTTATACTGTATACTGTATTTACAGTTCAAAGTGTAAAGTATGTATAGCTTAAAATGATCATGATCGAAGAATGAATTATCAATCAAATGATATAATATTATTGATAATTAAAAGTTAACAATATAAGAATTTAAAATAAAAAAATTTAACTTCAATTTTTTTGTTATAAAGTTTTACCTTGACTGACAACGCATTGTGAAGAAGTAAATTTTTCTCCTCTCTCTCCGCTAAAATAGTAAAATAAGTTAAGAATAAAAAAAATTGAATTTGTTATGATCTAACTTATTAATTTATATAAAGTATTAAAAATTGTGCATTTGCATTTTTTTTTCAGAAATTTTAAGCCAAGGCTCAATTTTCCCTCAACAATGAATAATGAATAGTTTTTTATCTAAATAATTGCTTTTAATGAAATATAAAGCAATAAAATTACAAATTATTCTTTGGAAATCTTTGTAACCCATTTTTTTAATAATGCTTAATACTTGAAAAAATCTATTTTTAAACTTTACCTAGATAAAGTCTATCAAAATCATTTTCTACACTTTTGTATTAATTTTTTTATGAACATTTAAAAAAAATAAATGGTAAAAAAGTGGACCTAGATATTGTTGACACCATGTGCTAGTTTTCGTTCCATTTCCAACCGTATGCTTTTCAAGGTTTTCCTGATTCAAACAAAAATTTAATTGAGAAACTATTTTAAAATTGTTGAACCCGGGGTTGACATGTTTCTTTCATTCTAACCCAGGCTGTAGGGGGGGGGGCGTTGATGCCTTCCCCCCCCCAATTCAGTTTTAGAGCTGTAACATCAACATTTCTGAAACCTCCTTCAGACAAAAAAATTTGACTTCATATATTCTGAAACAATTATTTTGATTATTTTTCAAAAACAGTAATGGACCCACCCAAGGTACTAATGCAAGGAAAGTTAATTGCGGTCGTGTATACTCTGCGTACATATTGAAACCAGTTCTCTCTGGCCGGAATTTGCAAACAAAAATAGATGCATCAGTGTTTGTGTAGTATCCGAGGAGGATAAAAGCATTTAATTTTGATAATTTTGAAAATTCACATAATAGTTTCCTAAGACCAGAATATTTCATAGATTATTTTTGTAAAAAAGAATTCCATGTCAGACTTCGACATCTGTCTTGTGTTTATATTACCGCCCAAAGACAGTACACTGCAGTACAAAAATGCGTACACCTCTGAAATAACTTTCCTTGCATTAGTACCTTGGACCCACCGGCCGGTGTAGATGGGTCAAGCAACCTCATGCCTTAAAATTCATATTTTTTGTGTTTACCCTGGTTAAAGGCCTGGGAATATTATTGTCCTTGTTTACCCTGGTTAAAGGCCTGGGAATATTATTGTCCTTGTTTACCCTGGTTAAAGGCCTGGGAATATTATTGTCCTTGTTTACCCTGGTTAAAGGCCTGGGAATATTATTGTCCTTGTTTACCCTGGTTAAAGGCCTGGGAATATTATTGTCCTTGTTTACCCTGGTTAAAGGCCTTGGAATATTATTGTCCTTGTTTACCCTGGTTAAAGACCCGGGAATATTATTGTCCTTGTGTTTACCCTGGTTAAAGGCCTGGGAATATTATTGTCCTTGTGTTTACCCTGGTTAAAGGCCTGGGAATATTATTGTCCTTGTTTTCAAAGCAAAGTGAAGCATAGTTCAATTTCTCGTTGTACCTGAAAAAGAAAATATTTTTCAATTTTCACAAAATATTATTTTTTCTGGATATTTACCCTCGACTGATGTCCAATCTTGAAGCCAAGTCTTTAGGATAATTAGAATCAAACTTTCCTTAAAAAACAACAATTTTTAGAGACTGGTAAACAGGTAAAAAGTTTCATGTGCAATCCAAAATGGGATGCTTAAAATATATGAGTATTTCTTTGTTCTTCTCTATCTGAAAATTGAAATTCATGAGCTCAATTTCTCTGTCAATCTTAGTGTATGTACAAGCAAGGAAATTGAGAGAATTTGTCACTTATCAAAATTTGAAAAATGACGAAAATGACGAAAACTTCTTTGTTACTGAGATAACGTTTTAAAACTAGTGTGCTATTGTGAATTATGAAAGTAACCCAATAATAAATGTAATTACATTAACAATCCCTTTAATAAAGTGGCACATGTAATTACATTAACAATCTCTATAATAAAGGGGCAAATGTAATTAAAAAATTGTAACTTCTTGCACTACAAAAAAAGAAACAAAAATTTTTTTAATTTATTAATTGTTGAATGTTTTGTACTGCAGTAATATAAACATGTACCTGTACAAGGGTTGATCTGATCTATAAAGAACTTTCTGTTGTACTGAATAAACTTCTGTAAATTCCCAAACTTACAGTATTCAACTATCATATACAGTTCCCCTGAAAATGTACAATGTGAATGAAATATTTTCGAAAAAAATAATTCTTCAATGCAGAAAATCAAATCAAAATACTTCTCTAAAAAAATAAAATAATAAACAAATTTGAAATTAGAGTCCGTTTATTAATCCTGAAATATAAAATAATCCTTAAAGATGAGACTACAGGGAGTTTTACATTGAATATAATCTTTGTGTATTATTAACCTGTAAAAGAGAAAGTTTATTGGATTGTATCTCTCAGATACTTTAAGATTGCAACTCTTTAGGCTTTATTAAGAAAATATATTGACTAAAAAGCTTATGGATGCGCGTAAATACATATTACAATTAAACATATTTTCATTATTATATAGCCACAGAAAATTAAGTTATGCCACGATTTATTACAAATCATTGTTAAAAAAGAAATTCTGAAATTGATAAAAAATATTCTTCTCACTGGAGTGAAAAGTGATGATAAATCTTATTTGAAAACCTAATTGCTCTATTTGAAGAAATATCAATCAATCAATCAAAAAGTGTCTCATTTCTCAATCTTTGAATTGGTTTTCAGAAAATCAGAGAAAATTCAACAATAAACTGATTGAAAGTCTATTCGCTAAGTAGTTATAGACGTACTTTAATCAGCTGATTTGTGTATAATCAGCTGATTGTGTCTGATCAGCTTATCTGTATCTATTTAGCTACTTAATGTCGGATTTATTTTAAGTCCGCTGAATAATATCAAATCAGCTGTTTAATGTTTAATTAACTGATGAATTTTTGCTCAGCTGATTGATGTAAAATTAGCTGAATAATGTCTTATCAGCGTATTAATGTCTAATTAGGTGATTTTTGGCTTATCAGCTGATAAATGTCTGATCAGCTGGCGACATTAGATAGATTTTACCTAATGAAAGGTTAGTTGTAATAGCACCAAGCAGATTTAGAACATTAGGATGAGTCCCCAGATGAGAAAGTATTTTCAATTCTGACATTAGTGCCTTTAATCAAATAAAACAAATTTGAAATATTTTTAACAATTATTTGATTCAAGATGTTTGTATTAGCTCCTTTATCAATCAAAGTGCTCAAGGAGTAGAAATAATAAAAAAGTAAACAATCTATGAAAACGGCAAAATATTTAAGCTGGCGGTAATTGAGTTTTTGCCAAAAACTCCAATTTACTAATCTCTAAATCTTTGCAACTTTGATATCTCAAGCTTAGAAATTGTTTTATCCAACAAAATTCATAGTTTGAAATATGGGATTAATTATCAGAGTTTGTGACAAAAACGCAGTTCCTTTCACAAAAAGACAATTCACAGAATACTTTAACACAAGTAAAAAGCCAGAATGTTTTGTAAATTTTCAAAAAAAATATCAGAAAAAAGTTTATAATGATTTTATAATATTTTTTGTTCCATTCTTTTCCTGAATTTGATATTTTCCAGACTGGGGTTTCAGGGTTTTCACAGCTACAGTTGTAATTGCCTTTGCTGGGTCAATTCCTGAAATACGGAAGTGTAACGTTCTAAAGTAATTTCAAGTGACCCGTCATTCAATTTAAATCATTTTCTGTTCAAGATACAAGAATGAATTAGTTATCAATGTTTTTCACTTTGAAACTTCATTATTTTGCTGCAAAATCTTTTTTTTTAAAACTAGATATTTTTTTATTTTCGTAATGTAATGGAATTTAACAAAAATTACATGTTAAAATTACAAGAGCATTTTTTATAATTATACATGAGCTTTATTTTAAAGCAAGTTTTACTATTAGTAATATTCAAGGAATGAGCGGTAAAATTATCAAGTATATCATTATCCAAAACTGCATTAAAATTATAACATAAATCTGGTCTCCATTTTCAACATTTTTGAAATGATTTAAATTAAGTATTGTATATGGATGTGTTATTATCTTTTAACAGAAACGACTTTTGCTGCAAAATCAATAAGAGGAAATTAGCAGAATTAGAAACTTTCCAAGCTAGAAAAACAACAATATCTTCTTCATTATTGATCTAAAAGGTTGAAATGGTACCATTGAAAATCGCGCGGTCATGCTCTTGAAATCTGATCAATAACATGGAAGATATTATTTCTTGGTCTCTTAAAAGTTTTGTAAATAATTCTAGATAGGATTTTAGAAAACCACGACTTATTACTTTCATATATATAGAAAATAAAAAATTACCAATGCATGCACAGAAATAAATTTAAAGGTTACCACTATTATTTTTAATTAATTATATCTTTAAATAACATCTTAAAATTACACTAAATAGATACACGTTCATAAAGAAAAGTTGTAACGTTTTCTTTAAAAAATTAAAGTCTTGCCTAATGCTTCTGCTCTAAGAACTCTGCCAAAGGCTCCAGATCCAATCTGTTTTCCAAGCTTTAAGCGTTCCTTTGGGAACTCTAAACCAGGATCATAGGGGAGCAGGGACACCTTAATACATATATTGATCATATTAAGAGATAAATATTGATCAATTATCACTTTTTCATAAAAATTTATCACTTAGAGAAAAAAATTGATAACATTGAGAAAAAAATAATCAAATTGAGGAAAAAATTAATCATTTAGATAAAAGATCAAATTGAGAAAAAAAATTGATCACTGAAGAAAGAAAGGATTGTTAACATAGATTAATAACAACACAGATAGAACACTGGTAATGTTGATCCGCTCTACTGCTCATCCGTCCTATTGCCCATCCGCTATACTGCCCATCCGACCTACTACAACATCTGACCTACGACAGCTGTAGGTTGGATGGGCATATCTTCTTGCCCATCCGACCTATTCAGCAGCTTTTGTCATGCCTAAACCGCAGTAGGGTAGAAATAATTAATTGTAGCTGTCGGACGGCCAATCAATTTTGTAGGTCAGATGGGCACTTTTTGTAGGTCGGATGGGCATTTTTCGTAGGTCGGATGGGCATTTTTTGTAGGTCGGATGGGCACTTTTTGTAGGTCGGATGGGCATTTTTCGTAGGTCGGATGGGCAAACGAAAAATGTGCCCATCCGACCTAAGAAAAATGCTCATCCGACCTACGAAAAATGCCCATCCGACCTACGAAAAGTGCACATCCGACCTACAAAAAATGGCCATCCGACCTACGAAAAATGCCCATCCGACCTACGAAAAAGGCCCATCAGACCTACTAATTCGTGTCCAAGCGACAGCTTAAAGTAGGTCGGATGCACCAATATGCTGTTTTTAACGTGCCCATCCGACCTACAGTGCATCGGACCTACCACAGCTGTTAAAACCACGTGCTTGTAGGTCGGATGGGCAGTAAAGGGGATGAGCGTAGGTCCAAAAATACACCATCTAGAACACTAGATGTCGTCTTTTCAAGATTTAGGGGTTTTTCATTCACAACAACTCTGAGGCAGAGGCTCGAAGGAGTTACACGCATGCGGCGTAGAACAGGCTCTCTCTCTGTCTAATAATTCAACGCAGCATGCGCGTTACTCCTTTTTTTTTTCTCAGGGTTATTGTGAACGAAACCCCCCTTAATATTGAAAAGACGACATCAAGTGTTCTATCTGTGCTGTTATTAATCTATGATTAATGAGTAGAAACTATAAAAGATTAAAACCTGATCCTGGAAAGTTGAAGAATTATAATTGATAGAAGCTGGATCTCCCATCAAGAACAGGGATATCTCTGCCTGGGTCAGCTGCTCTCTCATCATCTAAACCAGTTTTTAATCATATTTTTAAATGCCTTCATTTTTAGGGTGGCATGCAGGATTAACAACTGAACTGGTCTCATGAAAGTTTAAATCAGACATCCATAGCTGAAAACTTTAGAATAGTGGATATTGAGATTAATGCTTGATCTCCTTTTTTTTTCTTAATCTCCAGATTAAATAATGCTTGTTCTCCTCTTGCTATTAATCTCCAGATTATTTAACTGATCGGGATTAAGAATATCCCATTCTGAAGTTTTCAGCTCATGTTATTTTATTTTTAACTTAGGAGAAAATTGTTTAAAGAAGCAATTAACAACAATATCTTCCCATAAATAGATAGATATATAGATAGATACAAGATAGATATTTATCTATGTGTGTATTCATCTTTATTGGTTTGAAAAATAGAGGGTAGCTTGAAATCACGTTTACAGTCCCTTTAAGAAAATGATAAAACACCTTTAAACAGTCCAGATTTAAAGTAATTCAGTTTAACAAACAAATTTTAATTATTGTGTTTTTCCTTTTCCGTTTGTAAACAGAATTTTACATTAATCACAGGGGCCGTATGGACGTAATTTCAATTGTATCTCCATTTACAAAGGGCCAGATTCACATTGGGACCAACATTATATTTTTGTGTGGTCAATGATGTGGTCGATTACGCCGTTTATCTGACTTCAGAAATCCGCAAGTTACTTTTGAATTTAAAATATCCTATTTTCAGGAAATAAACATTAATAATAAACATTAATAAACATTAATCCAAAACTTAAGTTCGTTCATCGATGTTTAGTTCAACTGATATGACACCATTGCAATACCAGAAATCAAAACCGGTTTTTCAAAAGTTAAAGAGTACATCTTAACATGACACTCTGATTGGTTAAACTTTTAACTTCTTTCTTGGATATCGAATGCGTTCTAAAATTTTGGGTTTAGTAAAACCAGGAGTTTAAGCATTAATCTTGATATCCACCATTCTAAAGTTTTAAGCTCTGTATCTTTTACTTTGTAAGTTACCTTGTGTTTCCTAAAATAGTAAATCACAGATCCAAACAGAATAAAGAAGCAAAGAACAAAGAAAGCAAAACCTCCCACTAATCCCTTGGCTATCTGAGGAGTCAAATCTTCTAAAATAAATTTTATTACTATGATACAGTTATAGAATTTTAATACCCGTACACCACAAAATTGTGTTCCCTCATGAAAATAAAAATAAGTGAAAGTTACAATAATGGCATTCAAAATTTTATAATATTTTCAATCCCAATTATTCAACTTCATAATTGAAATTAGCAAAAAGAAAGGTCGGTCAAACGGCTGGTTGGTTCTTTATGAAAAATAAAATAGGCGATGACTTTTGTATTATTTGAGCTACAGATCTAGAAAAAGAAAAAGATGAAGTAACATTTGTCATTTGTCAAAAATAAAATTTATATTTTTAACATTTTTCCAACATACTTTTTTTAGAACCTCCATAGCACCTTAATTAAACAAGTTAGAGGTCTAATGATTTTAATAAGCTGGCATATAAAATCTCAATAAAAGTCATACACCACAATAAATCCCCCCCCCCCCTCTATATAAGACAAATATAGCCCAACTGGGATAGGGTTAAGAGTGTATATTTACCGCTATAAATGATGAGATGTTTGAAGCCCACCAGTTTTCCAGCCAAGCTTTCCCTAAGGGAAAATAAACCTTCAGCTTATCGGTGTTTTATTTATTAAAAGCCTTTTCTCAATTTTTTAAAATGTTTTTAATTGATTTTCTGATCAAAACCATGTTACTTTTGGATTATCTCTTAAGTAATAAATTCAAACTTTTTAACTTATCGATTATTTTTTACTAAATGGCTTTTTCCAATTGAAAAAAATGTTCTGACCATATCCATGTTTTTTTAAATTTCTTTATACAGTAGGACCCGTAAATTGTGGAATAAGAAGACGACTTTTAAACTTAAATTATGATTTTAGAATGTGCAATGAACACATCGCATGGTGCAGTTACACAGACGCAAGGTACTAATGCAAGGACAGTTAATTGCGGTCGCGTATACTCTACGTGCATATTGAAACCAGTTATCTCTGGGCGGAATTTGTGAACAAGAATAATTTTGAAAATTCACATAATAGTTTCCTATGACCAGAATATTTCATAGATTATTTTTGTGAAAATTGATTCCATGTCAGGCTGTACAATCCGTCTTGTGTTTACTTTTCCGCCCAAAGACAGTACACTGCAGTACAAAAAATGCGTACACCTCTGAAATAACTTTCCTTGCATTATATCCTTGCACAGACGCACCCTTTTCACTGACAAAGTCGTTTTTCAATCTAATATCAATGTTTCCCTTGATGACAATATCAATTGCACATAAGATTGCATAAATGTCGTCTTCTTATTCCAAAGTTTTCTGGGGGTCCGATGCTCAGGGACCAGGGTATCACAAAAAAATATTAGAATAAAATAAAAACATTATCATTGTCTTTGAATTTCCATATCCTGATGTTTTGGTGGATTTGTGATTATAACTTGAGTACCTGATTTTATTTATTTATTTATCTATTTATTGATTTTTTGAGCAATTCATAAATGATTTATTGATTAATTTAACAAAAGACAATTGATTGAATGATAACTTTGAAAATGATTGATTGATTTTCAGATAGTTGATTGCTTAATCCATCAATAGATAGTTTATTGGTTAGAACATTCATAGAGACTTGATTCATTGATTGATTAATAGATGATTGATTGATTGAAAAACAGAGAGATAGATAGATAGTTGATTGATTAATCGATGAATATTAGATTTATTGATTAATTGACAAATAGACCATTGATTGATCAATATATAATGTATCTATTAATTGATCAATAGATGCTTTATTTGTTAATTGATCAATATAGGATAATTAATTATTGATTAACTCATAATTGGTTGATTCACTAATTAATAGACAATTGATCGATTGATTGGTTATAAGACAATTGTTTTATTAATGGATAATTAAATACTTGATTGATTGATTAATAAAGAAAGTACCTAATACAGGTGTAGGTAGCAACATGTTTAGTATGAAAGTACCTAATACATGTGTACGTAGGTAGCAACATGTTTAGTATGAAAGATACCTAATACAGGTGTAGGTACCAACATGTTTAGTATGAAAGTACCTGATACAGGTGTAGGTACCAACATGTTTAGTATGAAAGTACCTGATACAGGTGTAGGTACCAACATGTTTACTATGAAAGTATTCAATAACAAGGGTTGAGCCGTTGTAGGAGATTAAATCCAGTTCCAGGGGATCCATCGAGGAGTTCTAAACATTTGATCAAATATAGGAGATTAAATCCAGTTCCAAGGGATCCAATGAGTATTTCTAAACATTGGATCCATTAAAGGAGATTAAATCCATCTCCAAGGGATTCAGCAAGTATTTTTAAACATTGGATCCATTAAAGGAGATTAAATCGAGCTGCAAGGGATACATTGAGGAATTCTAAACATTGGATCCATTAAAGGAGACTAAATCCATCTCCAAGGGATCCATTTAGTATTTCTAAACATTGGATCCATTAAAGGAGATTAAATCCATCTCCAGGGGATCCATTGAGTATTTCTAAACATTGGATCCGTTATAAAAGGTTTAATTCATCTCCAATGGATTCATTGAGGAATTATGAACATTGGATCCACTAAAGGAGATTAAATTCAACTGCAGGGGATCCATTGAGTAATCCTAAACATTGAGTCCATTATAGGAGATTAAATCCAGTTGCAGGGGATCCATTGAAGAATTTAATCTCTAGGCATTATTATAGCCTATAAATTCGAAGTATGGGTCTAAAATTGAACTTTTTAAGAAGTGCTATGAAAATAGATGCATACTTTGCGAAACTTGTTAAACCTTTCTATGTACAAGTTTTTTAAAACTTCTAAAACTGGGCCATGTCAGCTTGGTTCAAAGGTGTCGAAAATAACTAGGCCATAAAGTGATGAACCTTGAAGTGAAGATAGTAGTGCCAGAATTACAACGGTACCCTTGAAACCATTATCTGATCAAAATGTAGAATATCCGTCGTTTTTCTGATTCGAAAAATATTTATTTTATCGCTTTTGGAGGGAAACCACAAATGAACTTAAACAATTTTAATGAAGAAAATAATGCATATCTAATTATAATTGACAAGACAAATTTAAGGCATCGCTGTAAATCGGGCATTGTCATCTTTACACGGAGGGTCGCTTGAATTTACGCTTACAGTCCCTTTAAAGGATAATACAGGCTGGCTTGGTAACTCAATATTCTTTAGATGTTCTAAACCTGAAGGTTTTGTATTCTGTCAATGTACTGAACCTGAAGGTTTTGTATTCTGTTAATGTACTAAACCTGAAGGTTTTGTATTCTGTTAATGTACTAAACCTGAAGGTTTTGTATTCTGTTAATGTACTAAACCTGAAGGTTTTGTATGTGGTTCGCCTCACTCCTTCTCCAAACCAAGGAGGGTTCAGGGTCCCCACTAGCCCCACAGTTCAGCACTACCTAAAATATACTTTTTTAAGAATCGAGGGTTCAGTGTCCCCACTAGCTCCACAGTTCAGCACTACCTTAATAATTACTTTTCGTATATAATTGATATCTAAAAATATTTTAATATTTTATGTGTTCTTTAAAGGGAGTGACCAGCTATGTAAGGTAGTTGAACTGAGTATGCAGTGTTGTGGAAAACTTCTTTCGGATTTAGTTGAGACATATTAAATCTTTTAAAGATCTGTAAATCCTGAGTTTGAGCGCAAATTCGACGTTCAAAACTCCTACTTTGGGGGTGGATACGTTTTCAGAATTATTTTTTTTTATTTTTAAATAACGACAAAGAAAAATAAAGTAAAAATTATACAGTTATCTAATTAGATGGTTAGGTACATATTTCTCAAAAGAAATTTGTCAATAAATCGATGCTTAAATCGATTATTTCGTTTTCATTATTGCATTGAATTTCTTATTTTCTTTGAATTTATTCGCATATTTCTTAAAATTCTTCAAATGTCGTTTTTTCAATAATAATTCTAGAAAATCTGCGAAAATCTTTGTGAATAATGAGAAAATAGAAACTAATAATTGAACAAGAATACTTATTTTCTATGATAAGATTAATTTTTATTTTCTCAACATGCTCTTATACTTGACGTCTGTAGTTTATTTTAGAACTTTTTTACATTTTATGTCGTCATTATTTAATAATTTAAAAAACTAATTCTGAAAACGTGCTACGAATTTAGAAAAAAAATCATTTTTTCAACGAATCTTTTAATACTTTTAATTTATAAAGATAAGAAATATTAAGTTGATTAATTGTTCATAAAATTATAGCACTGAGCAAAAAACTGAGGGGTGGGGATGCCAAATAAGAACTGAAGAAGGACATGAGAAGGACTAAACTAACTTAAATTTATTTTTACAGAACTCATGTACACCACAAGTACTCAATGACATAAGAAAAGCCAATATTCACAACCGACCTAGGTAATCTATATAACAGGAATATCTTTAAAACATCTCTGTACATTTATATCTTTCAAGATGAAAAATGTCGTTTTATCGCAATCTATCTTTATCCATGGTCAGAACACCGTAACACGCACCTCTGACCTTTTAGTAAAAGTAAATTAAACTTAAAGTCTGACCGCGTCAACCTTGTTGCACCTGCTAGCCCTATTGAGTGCCTGCTTTATTTACCCAATGTCCGGGCGATACAGTACAAACTGGGACCGGAAAGGTTGACCCGACTCGGAAATTCAAATGTACTACGGCTGCCCGTGAGAAGGTCATGTTAAAAATGGTGAATATGTTGTCATATAGTCATACCATCAAACCCTATTCAGATACGTGTGCAAAACTATTTTGCACAATTCTCTGCCCTATGGTGTGCAAATCTCTTATTTGCCATAAATAGACAGATTCAAATTCGCAAGTCTTGGGAAATATAATTCCTGATTTTCTAGCAAGATAAGATGGATAAAGAAGTGATAAAAAATCAAATTATTACAACCTGCAACTGCAGTCAGAAATGGATTTCAGTATCATGGTAAAACAAGCTAAAAATTGTTAAAAAATTTGTTAAACATTTTTTTTATTTTAATTTCATCAACTCCTTGTGTTAGTTTATAATTCAAACAATAATCTATATTTTATGCAATATTTTAAAACGAATGTGATTCAATTTCTTTACAAATGAACGAATTATTTTGATAAAATCCACGAAATTTAATTAAAAACCGGTTTTCTCAGCATACTTGAACATTTTTCTTTTGTAGTGCACAAGAATAACGCTAAAGACCCCCACAGAAGTTTAAAAACCTGTACGAAAATTCTAGATAGTTTTCGTCGGTCTTTTTAGGACTACAGTTTTATTACATTTTGGATATTGTCTTTCTGATTTTGAGATTTGAATGTGTCAGTCTACTGATTAAATTTACATCAAGACTATAAGATCCTTTTTATATTTAAGAAGACTGAATCACCTGTTATTCATATCCTTCAATTTCATGATTCTACTTCCCCATTCCTCTTCATTTTTTCAGGCTGATTAGTAGGCCGACAGGAGTAAGTCAATCACATCTATCACCATTATTGTCCAGAATATAAACACTACCTCCGGCCCCCTCTTGATGGTATTTTTCAAAATAAAAAATGTGTTTACAGAGTTGGAAGCCGATAAATCATAAATGTTTCAGATGTTGCAGGTTTAACTCTGTGTTCTATCTTCGTACCGATAAAATTATGGACACAATGGTGTTAAGGGTTACCCACAATGGATCAGACTGTAAAGACGACCCAAAACTCTAAAAATAATTACGAATAATTATATAATAGTATTTCACAAATAGGGGCCTTATTCCTTCTTAGGTGAAAGCCACCCTTGGATTGCGAGAGCTACTGTAATTGTGAATTCATGTGATCCCCCATTTATAATGGGGGAATCTTCAATTCACAATGGTACCCTTGAAAGCTGTATCTCATCAAGTATTCATGATTTTGTTTCTTGAAAACTGAGCTTTTTATTTGAAGTTTTTCTACAACAGTGACTCCCGCATTTCTGAATCAGAATTAAACACTTTCAATCTAAAAGAACGATGGTATCTTCCATATTATTTATTAGATGAAGGTTGTGAATCTTTTTGCAACATGTTATAAAGCAAAGAGATTCTGCACTTTTGTCGTGTTTCATGTTCATTGGACTAATTAAGAGTATATAGCTTAAAAACCAACTAAACAAGAAGAATGGAGATTCTGCACTTTTGTTGTGTTTTATGTACAATGGACTAATTAGAATCATAAATAGAGTTGAACAGTCTTCCTTCTATTCCATAGTTTTATGTTCATTGAACTAATTAGAATCATAATTAGAGTTGAACAGTCCTCCTTCTATTCCATAGTTTTATGTACATTGGACTAATTAAAATCATAATTAGAGTTGAACAGTCTTCCTTCTATTCCATAGTTTTATGTACATTGGACTAATTAGAATCATAATTAGAGTTGAACAGTCTTCCTTCTATTCCATAGTTTTATGTTTATTGGACTAAATTAAAATCATAATTAGAGTTGAACAGTCTTCCTTCTATGCCATAGTTTTATGTTCATTGGACTAAATTAAAATCATAATTAGAGTTGAACAGTCTTCCTTCTATGCCATAGTTTTATGTTCATTGGACTAAATTAAAATCATAATTAGAGTTGAACAGTCTTCCTTCTATTTCATAGTTCCGCTGTATCTTCCGAAAGACGTTTATTTTCGTAATGTTACTGAAAAAAAAATCTTGTTATCTCCTATTCAATTTGGATTACAAAACTTACATCTTTATGAAAGGATGAGACTTCAGAGACGACTGCGCGGAATGTATAATGTCTGTTTCATTAAATTCATGATTCCCTGCAACTGTTAACTTTGTGTCTTTCTTTGCTATATATCATAATATATAAGCCATTAGATCACTTCATCTTAGGCAGAATACCTAGTCTAACCTTAGGATCGTCACATTTTCAGAGTTTTTGGTCGTCTTTACAGTCTCATCCTTTGTGGGTAACCCTGTATGCTCTGAAAGTAAGAACTAGAAACTCTGTAGTAGACCTCTAGATGTAAATAGCCCCAAAATCAATATTGGGGTTAGATGTCATTTTTTCCGTGCGTCTGTTCGCCTAGTAAAAAAAAAACATCAAAATGTCACTTGATTCACACATTTTTTTCTGTGCGCTTATGCATTTAGAAGTGCAAAGATTAATCTCTTCAAAAGTTTTATTTGATTTGTCAAAATCATGTTTCTGTGCGCCGCGCATAAACGCATGAAAACGACACTTGATAAAAAAAATCATCTTTATTCTGTGCGCTTATGCGTTTTCAAGTGGAAAGATTCATCTCTCTCAAAAACTTTTCTTTTCTTTTCTTTCTTTTTCAAGTAGAATCGGAAATTATAAATTCATTTATCAAATGGTCTCAATCTTGAAAATACGATCCTTATTCCTTATTCCCCGTTTTTTTAGATACACTGTAGATAGATAAATGTATAGATAGAAGATAGAAATATAGATAGATAGATAGATAGATAGATAGATAGATAGATAGATAGATAGATATATAGATTTATATATAGATACATATACAGATATAAGATAAAAAGTTTGTAGGTTGGACACAACCATCCAACGGACGAAATATATTGATAGTTTTTATTTAGTAAAATTGAAAATATTCGATGGACACATACAACTATATAGAAAATAAATCCAACTTTTTTCAATATATTGATAGATGTGAACATCAATATCGAATATATTCAAGAAATTGTTCCGAACAATCCAAAATGTTAGTAATCCCCGAGTACAAATTAGAAAATCCGGGAATCATAATAAGACAGCATATGATTGAAGAAAGATGGCTCTCCGTTGGGATGTAAATTGGAGACTAAAAAACATTGATTTAAGTCCGAAGCAGCAGTAGAATCGATGATTATTTAGATTCTCAAATGTGTAAAACAGCTAGTGTATGTTTTGAGTACAGGAAAAAATTCTACGCTACTGGAGTTTTGAGATGAGAGTGTTGATTTTATTTCTGCTGGGTTCTGCAGAGCTGAGAAGCAGTTCGTGAGTGGAATATATTTCTGGAAAACAAACGATGCTGCAGAGCATAGCATTTCCTAGATGGAATATATTCCTGTAATAGACGGGATGCTGCAGAGCAGAGCAGTTCCTATATGGAATATATTCCTGGAAAAGACGGGATACTGCATGGAGCAGAGCAGCTTCCATGGATAGAATAGATTCCTGGAAAAGAAGGGATGCTGCAGAGCAGAGCAGTTCCTGGAAAAGAAAGGATGATGCAGAGCAGAGCAGTTCCTGGATAGTCTAGATTTCTGGAAAAGACGGGATGCAGCAGAGTAGAGCAGTTCCTGGATAGTCTAGATTTCTGGAAAAGACGGGATGCTGCAAAGCAGAGCAGTTCCTGGATAGTCTAGATTTCTGGAAAAGACGGGATGCAGCAGAGTAGAGCAGTTCCTGGATAGTCTAGATTCCTAGAAAATACGGGATGCTGCAGAGAAGAGCAGTGTCTGGATAGTCTAGATTCCTGGAAAAGACGGGATGCTGCAGAGCAGAGCAGAGCAGTTCCTAGATAGTCTAGATTTCTGGAAAAGACGGGATGCTGTAGAGCAGAGCAGTTCTTGGATAGAAAGATTCCAGGAAAAGACGGGATGCTGCAGATCAGAGCAGTTCCTGGATAGAAAGATACCTAGAAAAGACGGGATGCTGCAGAGCAGAGCAGTTTCTGGATAGAAAGATACCTGGAAAAGACCGAATGCTGCAGAGCAGAGCGGTTCCTGGATAGAAAGATTCCTGGCAAAGACGGAATGATGCAGAGCAGAGCAGTTCCTGGATAGTCTAGATTTCTGGAAAAGACAGGATGCTCCAGAGCAGAGCAGTTCCTGGATAGTCTAGATTTCAGAAAAAGACGGAATGCTGCAGAGCAGAGCAGTTGCTGGATAGTCTATATTTCTGGAAAAGACGGGATGTTGCAGAGCAGAGCAGTTCCTGGATAGTCTAGATTTCTGGAAAAGACGGGATGCTGCAGAGCAGAGCAGTTCCTGGATAGTCTAAATTTCAGGAAAAGACGGAATGCTGCAGAGCAGAGCAGTTGCTGGATAGAATGGATTCCTGGAAAAGACGGGATGCTGCAGAGCAGAGCAGTTCCTGGATAGTCTAGATTTCTGGAAAAGACGGCCGGAATGCTGCAGAGCAGAGCAGTTCCTGGATAGTCTAGATTTCTGGAAAAGACGGGATGCTGCAGAGCAGAGCAGTTCCTGGATAGTCTAGATTTCTGGAAAAGACGGAATGCTGCAGACCAGAGCAGTTCCTGGATAGTCTATATTTCAGGAAAAGACGGAATGCTGCAGAGCAGAGCAGTTCAGGGATAGAATGGATTCCTGGAAACGACGGGATGCTGCAGATCAGAGCAGTTCCTGGATAGAATAGATTCCTGGAAAAGACAGGATTGCCACAGAGCAGAAAAGGTCGTGGAGCAGAGTAAATATGTGAAAGCGCGAGAAAAACTCTTTTCCTTTCTTCAACATGTTTTTTTTCTACAAAAATGGAAGCGAAACCCTTTGTACTGTTTGTTAAAATGTAAATAAATATATCGTTTTAAACAATGTTTTCATTTATGTCACGATAGATAGATAGATAGATAGATAGTTATAGATTTGGAAACTTTGGAAACTTTGCTACGCAAAGGCAATCCACATTTCAAACCATTTGCATTGCCCTTGTCATGAAGCGTCTTTTTCATATTTTTAAATGTTTCTATTGTATATGGTTCAATCTTTTCTATTGAAGTTCCTAATATTACCACTAGGAGCGCCAAACAGCTCAGGTTAAGAAACTATAATATTTATTTCAGTGTTTTCTGCTTCCTTTTTAAGACTGTAGTTTCTAAGGGCGGCTTCAGGATTTAAGACCGGGCCGAGGGGAGGGATAAGATATGCACGCGAAAAAAAAATTGTTTCCCCCCCCC